ACTATAGGGGCTACTATAATGGTTACTATAACAGTATTGTAATCTAGGGGCCTTATAATTAGAACAGGGTTTTGGAGTATATTATACATAAGTTTAATAAGGAACCTAAAGAAATAATGTTGGTAAAGTCATGGAGAGCAGGTTGAAGAACATCGGTTTAGTGTTTAGAGGCCATAATTAGGCTGCAGGCTTTAAGGTTCATAATTATTAGGGTTTAGGGTTTATTAGGGTTTAGGCTTTAGGGTTTCTAATTAGGGTTAAAGGTTTAAACCCTAAACCCTAAACTAAACCCCTAAACCCTAAATCCTAAACCCTAAACCCTATTCTAATTAGGGTTTAGGGTTTATGTAGGGTTGGGTGACTTCGAAAACCCGAGGGTCGGAACGCAGCTTGTGTGAAGCCCGTGAGTTGCTTTGGAGGAGACCCTAAACCCTAAATCCTAAGGCCCCAAAGTAGTTCCTTTTTCGGATTACCTTGTAGGATTCTGTATATGAACCCCAAAAAGGAACTACTTTGGGGCCTTTGGGTAAACCCTAAGAGGTTTCCCCGAACCCCGAACCTCCGCAAACCCAAGCCCTGAACCCCGCAAGCCCAAAATCACACGACTTCATATGCCATAAACCCTTTTGCAAGCCTGTAAAGCCAAGAAGCCCTAAACCCTGCACCCCTTACTTGGAGGTTCGTGCGTAGTTATAAGTGGGTTACAAGTCCCCCTAATAAGGTTTGTAGTTACCCTTCTTATAACCTCACTTATAGCTACCCATGAACCTCCAAGTAAGGAAACCCCATGTACGCACCGGAACAGGCTCTCCGAAGCGATTGCGCGGGTTCACCTGACCGACTGGGTGAAGCGGGGGCCTGTGAAGCTCCACCTACAATGTGGTTTAGGATTTTCATGGTTTTTAGGTTTTTTAGGGTTTAGGGTTTGTAGGGTTTAGGGTTTGGGGTCTCTGGTAAGTTGCGGCATATACTCAGGTTCTTCGACTCGAACCTGTCGAGCTTACGTATTCCTGGGTCATTATTGTTGGGTGTGCACGGTGTTTATTGGCAAGAAGTTATGCAACTCTCTCTCTCTCTCTCTCTGTCTCCATTTGTCTGTATGTACATATATTACATACTATATATATATATGTGTACGAATACATTATATATATATACACACACACACAATGCATACATCTATCGACACACGTACACACTTGTAGTCGAAGTCTTTCGGCGGCCCTCAACCTAAGCCCTGAGAGCCCAAGCCCTGAAAACACAAGCACCCAAAAATTCCGCCAGCTTTCCCCAGACATTAAAGCGAACCTCCAAATGAAGAGTCACAACCAAATGTTGAAATTTTACATCATAATATCTTATATCTCATATATATATATATATATACATATATACGCATCTATCTATATATATATATATATGTATTACATTGTTACGCAGATAGCAAAGGCAGGAGGCGGGACCCTGAGTTCAGAAGCCTCCGGTCCCAGGCCCGAACACGTGAGGGAGGCTTTCGAGCTCCAGGCGCCTGAACTTACCTTGGGTTAGTCGGGAATAGAGCTCCTTTGAAGGGATCTATAGGGTTCCTTGAAAGGGATCTATAGGGGTTTAGGGTTCCTTTACAGGGTTCTTTACCTTGAGTTAGTAGGGAATGGAGGAATGGGGTACAATTATAACTACTATTACTACCATTCTTCCGTTCCCTACTAACCAAAGGTAAGCTGAAGAGCCGGCGTTTTCCCATGTTTCGGGGTCCGAGGGTCAGAGTCTTAGGGTTAAGGGTTTAAAGTTTAAAGCTTAAAGCTTTGGGTTCGGTCTAGGGTTTAGGGTGTAAAGTTTAAAGTTTAAAGTTAAGGGTTCAGGGTTTAAAGTTTAGGGGTTTAAAGTTCAGGGTTTAGGGTTTAAAGTTTGGGGTTTAGGGCTTCAGTGTTTTCTTACTCCTCGAGGGGTCCTAGGTACCATTATGGGGGATACTTTCCCAGAAAAGGATGCCTGGTATAGAAGCCCTACTTTCTATTTTTTGTGTAATTTGGACACTTGGGGGCTCCTGAATAACCCGTAAGCCCCAAACCGTCAACCCGCTGGCGAGCGGCGACGTGAACGCATGGCTGCATTTGGAGACTAGGACCTAGAGTAGGCCCTTATTCCCTTTTTAAGGGTTCAGGTTCCCTTATAAGCCCCTTTAAACCAAAAAGGGCATCCTTTTTATTCCTAGGTTACTCTTGGGTCTAGGAGAAGGACGTCAAAGTCCCTGCCGGAACGGCAGTCCGGCTCCTGTAATGTGCACGCAACGGTGAAGTCCATGTCAGTGCCACATTGCCACAGCATTGGGTGAAAGCCACAGCTTACTACCAGACAGAAAGGTTTATAGTCAAACTTATAGTGCTGCTGCTACTGCGTGCGTAGTGCAGTGGTTTGAAACGCACCTGGAGCAAACAGTCCGTGTGCTATCGCAGTGTGCACTGGCACTGACTCTGCACAGTGGCCAGAAAGGCTTGAGCACACGGCCATTTATCTCAGAAGGGGCCCCCAACCTGTAATAGTGACTATAAGGATCATATTAGGGCCCCTTTATGTTCCTATTATACCACTATTACAGTGTGGGGGCCCCTTCTAACCTAAACCCCTGCATTTAGCCCGTTAGCCCTGTAGCCCTAAGCCCTCAAGCCCCAAACCGTAAACCCCAAACCAAAAGGGGTTCGAAAGTCAAATTTCCAGAGCGAATCATTCCCACAATATCCTGCCGTAAGGGTCGTATGAGGGGTTTTATCTACAATAATCCCTAAGGGTCCACGAGCGGGAGTAGATAAGTGCGGTGGCCTGAAAGTAGTCCTTACATAGATACTTTACATAGGGCCAGAGTATATGCTATTTGGGTACATGGACCCTTCGGCAACGGCCTTTTGGGACTTTACAAGTGATTTTGCCGATTATATAGCGGGCTTTGTAGGGTTTCAGCAGAGCCATTGCAGTTATGCCTTGCCTGCGCAACGTTTGCAGCAGGATGCCTCCCAGGGTCTATAGGATTTGGGGTTTACGGTTTGGGGTTGCCACACCTGCTTCTCTCTGCGGGTCTTATCTAGGAAGACGGGCTTTAGGTGTTCAGCCGGCTCTCCCTGGCGGTTCCTTTGGTTGGTAGACGATCTTTCTGGGAGTTTCCGAAAATAGGGGACCCCAATTTTGTACCCTAGATAGTAGGATCCTTATGATAAGGACCCCCAAATAAGGTACCCCAAAATTCGGAGACTCCCATATCAAATCCTTGAGATGCACCTGGTTGGCCGGAGAATTGGAACTACCTTGGAGTGCAGACCCCCAAGGACCAAACCCCCAAAGCCTCCATACCCCAAAACTCCAAACCGCTAGATCCCTACCCCCAAATCCCCAAACCTCTAAACCACGAAATGTTAAAGTTCAAATCTCAAGCTCGTTAAACATGGCCAAGGTGCCGTCACAGGCGTTTTAGGGTTTGGGGCTCTGAAAATTCTACTTCTTGACTTTGTTCAGGGCCTTTGGATGGCTCCTTGTATAGTTTTGTTTGCTGCAGGGCTTGATGCCTTGACGCTATATAGCTCCTTTCCGAAATATAGCTCCTTTCCGAAACTCTAACTCCATGGACCTTTCTGGACCCAGTAGCTGGTTTCAATTGCCGTGAACCCCAAACCCTGCACCCTGCACGCCTAAGCCTTATCGGACCCCCATAGCTCACTTAAAGGAACCCTTAGAAACCCGACATACCACTCAAAGGAAACTTTCAAGGACACCTATGTGTCACCTAAACGAACCTTTCAAGGAACCCTACACGCCTAAACCCTGAGGGGCGAAATTCCAGATTGCACGGCCGGCCTCTCGAACCCAATGTCTAAGCCCGACACAGCCTAGCATAAAGGACAGCTCCAGATCCATACCCAAAAGGACCTACATGGGAGAAGGTAGGGTTTCTATAGTAGGAATTACTATTATGATTTGGGGGAAGTATCCCCCGTAGCAGTGCCTAGGACCATTTGGGATAGCACTTAGCCCACAGAACTTGCTCCCCCGTTGCTCAGACGGCGGCCCACAAACAAGGGCAGCGCCTCCTGTCTGCGATTCTTGCAAACACGTCGGAAGGAAGGGTTTAGGGTTTAGGGTTTAGGGTTTAGGGGGTGTAGGCTGTTTAGGCTTAAGGGGTTAAGGGGTTTAGGTTTTAGGGCTCAGTGTTCAGGATGTGGGGTTGAGGGTATGTCTTTGCCCCTAAATGAATCCGAGACCCAGGGTGCAGCGACCTATCATAGTACGTTAAGCTTGATACTTAAGACACTTCTTTTAGCAGGAGGCCCTAAGCCCAGTTCCTGTTTTGTGATGGGGTCAGGGTTGAGGAATGTTCTTGTATTGTCATCCTTCTTTTCGCTCTGAGCTCTGCACTCCCTAAACCGTAGCCAAAACCTGAGTAGAACCCCGGGCTCCGCAATCCAGGCACCAGTAGTATTGGTTTCGAGCTCGGCCAATCAACCCAAAACCCTAAACCCTAAATCCTAAACCCTTTATAGTACCCTTATAGACCCCTTGAACCCTTATAAGGGTCCTAGCTGTTCAGTCATCGGGCTTTGGGGCGTTGTCGCCCTAACGCAGCCTCTGAAACCCCCCGACACCCTCAACATGAAATCCAACTTGGGAGGTTCATGGACAGTTATGAGTACGGTCATAAGTAAGGTAACTATAAGTAGAACCCGTATTGGGGGACTCATAACCGTACTTGTAATTAACTACCCATGAACCTCCAAGAATGTCGTGAAAGACCGAACCCAGCGATGGCAGCAGCTGGACCTATGAGAGTCCATGTCACCCGGCCGGCAGTGACCCCGGGTGCGTGACCGCCGAAAGCGGCGGAGCGGAGATCGCCTGGCAAAGATGGCGCCTACGTCATCCTCTGGCTTTATCCGCTCGCGTTTCAGTCAGACACCGTCCCACACCAACTCGAAGACACTGACGAGTTGAGCGCGATCTACCCGGGCACGCCTATGCCCTCCTGCGTGGTTCAGCGCAACTCGTGTGGAGGGCTTTCAGGACGGCTGTGGCGAGCGAGCCCCTTATACGGGGCTAAGGTGTTGGGGTTTAGGCCCTAAACCCTAAACCCTAAAGGCTTTTTGTGGCTTCGTGTTTTGTGTTTAGGGTTTGCCGCCTTGTTAGTCGGCATGAGCCGGCAACGGTAGCCATCACAACCTGAAAAGTAGAGAATGACTAGTGTCAAGACCTCCCCGTCCTACTTGGAGGGTCGGGGGATTTAGTAACTGTTTATTTTAGGGACTTATAAGTACCATAACCCCAATTAGGGTCCCTTTTAGGGTACTTATAAGTCTACTTACTACCTGCTTACTAAGTCCCCCGACCCCCCAAGCGGTAGTCGTGGCAGCAGTAGTAGTGGTAGCCGTCTCTGGACCCGAAAGAACAATCCCTAATTCCTAAACTGCAATCCCTAAATTCGAAAGCCTATACCTTGTAATATAGGGGCCTAAATAAATACCAATACTTTTTTTTTTTTTGGGGGGGGGGGGTCCTTATAGCAATTCTTGTATACTGGCCCTCAAAAACCTATTCTAACTATTAAGGCCCTTATACTAAGCCCCCATTAAACAACTTGTAGTAGCCCTTATAGACCCCTTAAAGGAACCCTGTTCTAATTATTAGGGCCCCTATATTACACCTTAAGCCCCTAAACCCCAAACCATCCTAAACCCCTAAACCCTAAACCTTTAAACCCTAAATTTTAAAGTCTACGCCTAAAAAACACCGGAGCCGAGGCGAGAGCATTGAGTTCGACGAGATCGCTGCTGGTGCCGAGGGTGAGCAGGAAGCCGGTGGCGGTGGCGAGGCATCTTGTTAGGGACCCAAAAAGCACATAAGCATAAGCATTTTATGGGGATATCCCTACCTTATTGGGCTTCATGATAAGGGGGTTTACATGCCTAACCTTATTTTTGCTTATGTGGTTTCTTGGGGCCCTCATCTTGGGGTTTCGGGTTTGGGGGTTAGGCTTTAGGGTTTAGGGGCTTAGGGTTTAGAGTTTAGGCCGGGGTGGAGGGTGTATTTAGGGGTTTAGGGTTCAGAGTTTGGAAGTTTAGACGTTAGGATTTCGGGGTCCTTAAAATCAAATGCTCTTTAGCCGTGAAACCTATCACCATGCTGACACACATTGGGTTGAGGCTGTACCATGAATGACATTTGACCACTTACGTAAATAATCGCTCATACATACATTCATACATACATAATCACATACATGCCTGCATGCATACGTACATGCGTACATACATGCATACATACAAACCTACATTTGCACATACATACTCGGATAGATACCAAGCCTGAGTCGTGTTCTGAAGACATGTGCAACCCCTCTTATTCTGCCAGGGGAAATTGATTGATGCTCCTAAGCCAGCTGTTAAAAAAAACGATCCCGATGCACCCAAGACCCTAAACCACGAAAAGGCAACAATTGTGAGACCAGCCCTTTGTCTCTTAAAAGCAGCCTATATCGGAAGACTGCTTCAGATTGGGGGCACCTCCGTTTAGTTTAAGGAGTCTATTGAGGTTGTTTCCTTCAACTAACTTATTCTTACCAGGGGTCTCATTCTGTGACAGACCCCAAATGCTTTCAACAACAAGCCCCGACGGCCAGCCAACATCAGGATTTAGGTTCTCGCCTTGAAGGTTGTCCTCTAAGCTTTACATCTCAGTTTCAACGCCCGAGCCCTAAGGGTCCAAGTACCTAGTGATCATATACTCTCCCAAATATTAGCCTACAAGACTATTATCTGGAATCCGAGTACCGAATTATCAGGTCCTTTGGACCCTGACCCTGAGCCATAACGCAGCAAACACTGGACCCACCTCTCCTTCTAGGGCGGCCAAGCTGCCCGGCCGAAGCGACTTCGCATCACGCATCCGGAGTATATGCGCATGGGCTAGGCTCTCAGGGGTTTAGGCTCTACGGATTTCGGTGTCATGTTAAGGTTTAGGGATTCCGGGACCTAGGGTTTAGGATCACCGGGCTGGAATCTTACGCCTTCAGGTTTAGGATTTAAGGTTGAAGGAGTCGGAAATAGGGATTCAGGATTTAAGGTGTAGGGTGTAGGATTTAGAGTTTAGGGTCTGTAGGGTTCAGGATGTGTTTAAGGGTTTTCGGCTTTGGAGTTTTAGGGTTTAGAGCATACGAGGGGGCTTCGATCTATACTTATAACTACCCACGGACCTCCGAGTAGGCTTTATTTTGTAGGGATTACTGGTTAAAGTTTAGGACCCCCCCCCCCCCCCCCCCCGCGGATTAGAAGGGAGTTGGGAGGTCCAGGTTTAGGTTTTGAGCAATGTCTGCTGCTGTTCATCAATGCTGCCTGTTCGCTACAGGAGATGTCGCTGATCCGATAACGTCTTCAAGCCCGGAACCTAAACCCACAACACAAACACACAGGAATCCGTTAATGCCCTAAATAAGTCATTAAGCCTTAAGGGCTACACTCTTGAACCTGAGGACATGCAACCACGAGCCCTAAAGCCCTAAAGCCTTACCTCAACGATGCCAGAGAAACAGCCCAAGTCCAAGGACCCAAGGGCTGGAATCATAGAATGGGGAACAGACCTAAAGGCTATGTAACTGGCTTCGTGGTGCGAAACTTAGTTCGAGTTGGCAGACTTTGCGGTGTCGCAAGCAGAGCAGCAGAGTTTTGAGATGCTCTCCCTTACACCTACTTGGAGGGTCGGGGGACTTAGTAACTGGTTACTTTAGGGACTTATAAGTACCATAACTCCAATTAGGGTCCCTTTCAGGGTACTTATAAGTCTACTTACTACCGACTTACTACGTCCCCCGAACCTCCAAGTATGCTAACTGCTCCGTGACAAGCACCTGGTGAACGGGCCTCTTGGACCCTTGCTACGAACGTCTCTGGACAAGTGGCCATGGATTTTGAGCAAACAGAGCAGCTGTTACAGCCTGGCAGGCAAGAAGGGGCAGGAGACCAGCAGGAGACCACCAGGACACCTATTTTGGGATAATTAGAGTATAGGTTCTTTTCAAGGGTCTATAAGAGCTACCTAAAGGGCGCCATTATAAGGATTTAGTATAGGGGCCTGAATGATTACCTGTACTAGTGACAATGTTTCCCCCAATCTTCTGACGGGATTTACACGGATTTACATTGGATGCAGGAGCACGGCTAGCATGCTTCCCGTGAACAAAATATTTCCCCAAGTACGTTGCGAGGCCAAAAGGGGGCCCAACGAGGTCAACTTGTCGATGGAGTGAAAGGCGTCACCTTTGAACCCGATAGTTTGCATCACACCGTTTGGGGAATGACAACCATTATGAACCCCCGATTAGTAAGCCTTGCAAACAACACTTAGAGTGACCTTTCTACTGACGCTTATAGTAACCACTTCGATTGCAGCCTTTTTCGTAACTCTGACCGTAAATAAACCTTTCAGACCGCCAAGCCCCGACCCAGGTCAGATGCTTCTTCGGCAGCTGGCGGAGCAAGACGCGGCCGGTGTGGTGGTCAAGGACTGCCCGTATATAATGTATCGAATTCCTTATGGGACAGCTTAGGGTTTAGACGTTTAGGGTTCAGGAGTCAGGAGAGTCCAGTGGCTCAGCGTTAGTGTTTATGGTTTTAGGTTTAGGAAGCAGCTTAGTTATCAGTTCTCTGCTATCTTGCTGAAAGGTCCTCACAGGGAAACCCGAAGGACTGAAGATGATCATAACGGGTACAGGTTGATTGATTCCCAGACCTTCCAAAATCCCTTAATTAAGGAATATACCTTAAATTATAGTAGGATCCCTAATATGATTTAAGGTATATTCCTTAATTAAGGGATTTTGGAAGGTCTGGGTTCTTTGTGTTCGAAGCATGTAACTTGGAATCTGAGGCCTTGAAGTTCTAGCGCCTCGACAGTAACCTAACCCGTAGATTTAGGGTTCAGGGTTTAGGTGTCTTGTGTCCAAATCAGGGTCCTAGTTGAAGGTCGTTTTCTGCAAGTACTTGAAGGTTCATGAGTAGCTATAAGTAGGGTTACAAGTCCCGTAATATGGGTGATCGGTATAGTTGCCCTACCTATACCGCCAGTTACAACTACCCATGAACTTCCAAGTAGGGTTCATGGTTTAGGTGTCGAAGGTCTTTCCTGCAAGTAAGGATGTCTCCGGGGGAAGAGGGCCCAGATGTTTGTACACAGCCACACCCAGAGAGCCCAATACTCCTTAATTGAGGAATATAGCTTAAATCATAATATGAAGCCCCTTAGAACTTAAGGTATATAGCTTAATTAAAGGGTATTGGGCTCTCTCGGCAGGTTTGTTGCTCAGGGGTTGCAGGTCCTCAGGTTGATAGAGTCGTAGCACCGGGTCGGAGGGTTTACGTGGGGGTTTTTAGAGAAAATCATGATTCTCGCTTTCTAGGGCTTAAACATCAAAAAGGCAGCTTGAAAAGGGCTTGTTGGCTTTCCAGGTCTTCCAGTGTTTACAAGCGTTTTGGCAGTAAAATGCCAATCCAATTATCGTCCTAAGACTTTGCTGTTCCCGGGGTTGGGAATCATTATGGGGCATTAGGGTTGAATCACACATCTGGGAGTTTAGTGTCTGGCGAGTCCTCAGCCGCACCCTCAACCACTTTCAGACCGGAACTTGTGGCTAGATTGAATGCAGTACATCTGCATCGCATCAGACGAACGGGAATTAAGGTGATTCCCACGGTGGCAGTATAGGAACCTTGTTCTAACAACCACGCGAAGCTGCAAGCTGCTTTCTTCCAACGCAGGAAAGCGATCTCGTTACCTGGTGAGAGCCCTGGAGAGCATGTTTCTCTCGGCGCTTCGGGGTGTCATTGCAACTTCGGTCTTCGGCGAGATGAAGAACCCTAAGGCTCCATGTACCCATATAGTATATACTTAGGCGTTAAAGTACCTATATAGGGCCTACTTTGGGGCTTAAGTATCTACTATAATGGTACATGGAGCCTTTGGGGAATACAGGTGCCATTCTCATCAAGGGGTCATTGCGTGAAGGCAGATCGAAGCACCCTCCCTAACCCGCAGGCTGAACAACAACCCCCCAACACCGACATGGAGTAAAAGCCAGGTATCAAGTATAAGTCCCAAGAGAGGCAGCTTTTTAGTTTGTTTTTTGAGGAGGGTGTGTGCATGGAGGTTCATGGGTAGTTCGGGTAGTCTTATGTGGGGTTATAAGTCCCCTAGTATGGTTTTATATTTATAGCTCCCCTACATTTAACGCCACTTTTAACCCATGAACCTCCAAGTTGGGGTGCTCGGGAAATGCCGAAGAAGCCGACACTGAGGGTCAACACTGTCTTGACATTCTGAATCACGAATCTAGGACCTAGAGTAGGCCCTTTTTCCCTTTTTGAGGGTTCGGGTTCCCTTATAAGCCCCTTTAAACCAAAAAGGGCACCCTTTTTATTCCTAGGATACTCTTGGGTCTAGTAATTCTCTATTCTAGACCCTGGGAGAGTCGTATGACAGGTACATGGAGCAGGCTGATCAGGATGTCCGAACGGAGGCGGGTCCTACCGAAGGGTTTAAGGGCTGGCCTAGGGCCTTGGCTCACTGGGGTCAACTGTTTTCCCCAAAGGCTCCAAAGTACCTACATGGGAGAATGTAGGGTTTCTATAATGGGAATTACCATTATGATTTGGGGAAGTATCCCCCATAACAGTACCTAGGACCCTTTGGGTTCTAGGGCTTTGTGATGCATAGGGCTCGTATAAAAGAAAAGCTTTGGGGCTAAGGTTCCGGGTCTACCTAGACCCCCCAACTACCCTCTACTATAACCCAAATACCCACTATTAGGGGCCATAAGGACTCTATGAAAGGGCCCTTTTTGGGGGGGTCCTGGTAGGGTTTAGGGAAGTAGACTCTTCGGGCTACCCCGAACCGCAAACCCTAAACCCTAAACTCTAAACCCAAACCCTAAACCCTAAACCCTATGGCTTTGGGTTTCGGCTTTTGTGCCTAAGTTGTGAGTTGCCTTCGCGGCGATGTCAGTGGTTCCTTCAGGACTTTGTAGACTTCTTGGCCACGAAGCCCCATATATAGCCTAAAACCCAATGCTTAAACCGCCCCGAAGCCCTAAACCCTAAACCTTGATGAAGCCTTCAACGCTAAACTGTGATCGGCTCAGGCCTCACTCCCTTGGATTTCGCTCCCTAACTAGGCCAACCTCCTATGGTTCCTTGTAAAAATTGACTTGCTTATACAGTCCTTAAAGGGGCAGGTTTTAGGGGTGAATTACATGGACAGTCCTTTCTTCGTGGTCTGAGATCAAGGAGTTCGTAGGTTCGGGGCGGTTTTCGTCGAGGGACCCTTGACGAAATTTAAAGTGGTCTTAAACCAAGACCCTAGCCTAAACCTTAATCCCGAAGCTGCCCATGTACGGACCTCGTTAGGAAACTTTAGGGTTTATGTTGGGTTTAGGGATTTTTAGACTTTCAGGGTAGAATGTCGGAACCCAGTGAAGGAAGCGGTTCTTATTTGTGGCTTCTATTGATATGCAGCCATTACTTGGAGGTTCATGGGTAGTTATAAGTAGGGTTATAAGTCCCCTAACATGGGTTATAAGTATAGTTACCCTACTTATAGTCCCACTTATAACTACCCATGAACCTCCAAGTAGAAGTTCACGGCGCATGGATGCACGCCGGCTTGCCCACGGCACCCAGACACCGACTTTTTCCCTTAATCCTGTAAACCCCAAACCCCAAAACCCAAACCCTAAACCCCATAAGCCCTACCTTAACCCTGAATAACCTACCTTTTTAGGGTTCCTTATTATGATGTCTTTATAGAAGTCCTTAAAAAGCTAGGATATTCGGGGTTAGGGTATAACTTATAGCTCTAAATAGCATTCAATGCCATATAAATGCCCTATCGACCCGACACCCAAAATCCTTCAAGGGCCGACTCACAGAAGCTCCAAGCCCCTTTCGAGAAGCCGTTATGAAGCCTCATAAGCACCTGCTTAAATCTTGCAGTCTTGCAAAATTACCCTAAACCCTAAAGCAAAGCCTAAAGTCTAAAGCTGAAAGCCTTAAAGCCTGAGGCCTAAACCCTAAATCCGAAGCCAAAAAGAAGCCTAAGCCTTAACTGAGACCCTAATCCGTGGCAGGAAGAGCTCTTTCAGCAACAGCACCTGGTGCAGCTCGTGGCGGGAGGCTGAGTCTACCGCGAGGTGAAGGATCAAGGCAGCCGCGAAATCCGTCGGCCGCATAGTCTATGGGTGCAGGGCGTTAATATGTGTATGTATATATATATACACATAAATTGGAAGTTTCCGTCACCCTTGTTTTCAGAATTTCTCTTCACAGCAGCCAGGATATTGTGAGCCCTTAGATGAGAGCCTGTGGGTCAAGCATGAGCCGGCTTTCTACGGGCTCACGACATGACAACGCGGGCTTTAGGGTCTAGACCGTTCTTGTGGCGGCCGGGCTTGTGGCTTTCGTCAAGCCTGCGAGCTGAAACATACAAGATCACCGTCCCTCAGGTCGCCCTTAGCTCTGCTTTGCTTTAGGGTTCTGCGTTGCGGTTGATGGAGGTATATCAATCAGACGTCTAGTTACACTAAGCCCCCCAGGCTCTACACCACAGCAAAATCCTATTCACAGCCGCCACTAACATAGGAGCATAGGGTTCGTTCTTGTAGCTGTAACTTCATGATAATATACCTCGAAACTCTATTCTACTTAAGGCCCCTAAACCCTATACACCCTACTCCATTCAAGGCCCCAATATTTAGTCAAGCTGCCTCCCCGCTCGCCGAGATCAACCGAATGATCACGCGCGACCGGGTTATCCTGGTGCACCAGGAGATCGAACAGGCTACGCAACGGGTTAGGGGTTGGGGTTTGGGGGTTTGGGTTCAGGGGTTTGGTTTTTGGTCTACCTGTAACTTCAAACCCTGCGAAATGGTTGGTTATAAGCCGTTTACTATAGTATAGGGCATTGCCCGCAAAACAGCATGATGGCGATCCCAGGTAGTTTCTGTCGCTACTTCGAGGACCAGGGACGTAGTGAAAAAGGTCATGAGTCGAGTCATACCCTAAACCCCTCAACCTAAAACCACAGCCTTGACCTCCGTACCCCATCACTCTCCCCCCCGAAACCTCTAAACCACATTTGCACCCAACCTTAACTTCGAAATCCCCGAGTCGCCAAACCCTGAGCCACTGCCTATAGCCTCCATTGTAGTTCCTTTTTCTGGTTCAACCAAATATGTAATTAGAATCCTATAAGGTAACCCCAAAAAGGAACTACAAAAGAGACTATACGGTTGATGATATAAATCCTGCATTACCGATAATACGGAACATGCCATAATTCCCATAGTTTAGGGTCCTTAAGGTCATGCAGGATTTATATCATCAACAGTAGGTGTTATCTATACAACACATTGCTGCCTAGTCTGCAGGTTGTGTAGGGTTCTTCCTAATTAGCACACCACCTTACCCGACAGCGGGTTGTGTGTGTTTTCAGGGTTTTTGGCTGGGGTCGGGGAGGACATGGTTCCGTTCTTGTCTCCTACAGACACGGTCCCATCTGCAGCCTCTAGAATTCCTTCTTGCGTAGCGGAGTCTCCTTCCGTACAGCAGCTTGGATGCTGCAAGGGATGCATTAAGCCTGTCCGTGTTCTTGCTACTGATTTCTGGCCCCATGCTCGTGCTTAGCCGTCGACTAGCCACTCTGGATGCTCTGCCAAGTCCCACTATATAAACATTGCCTGTCATGACAATCGTGCAAACGGCCCGTGCTTGATGATATTATTTCTTTGGGCCTGTCTTCTACAGCGAGAGTTGGCGGTGAGACAACGCGGAGCCAGTCCGAAAGGAATCGGATCATGTCAAGCGGAGGGTCATGTCAACAACGCGACGATGATGATGCTTTCGACAGAGGGGGAAATACCGGGAAATACTGTCTCCGTGGCGCCGCAGAATCACAAATTGTGCAATACATCCTGTGCGCCCACTAAGCACTAACACCCTTTCACCCGAAGGCCGTATAATTCCCTCCTAAAGTCCAACACCCTTTAACCTGAAAGCCCCAAACTCAATGCACTCCAGCTGTAAGTTCCAAAGTTAGTTCAATTGCCAAACCCGTGTTTTAAGGGCCCTACCAGACCCCCCAACTCCCCTCGAATGCACCCTAAATACCCACTATAAAGGACCATAAAGGGTCTATTAACGGGCCATTGCGGGGGTCTTGGTATATCGGTTCTACAAGAGTCTACAAGGGTTCGAAAGGCGCTATATCGGGGTTCTATACGAGTGCACCTTGGAAGAAGGCCGTACACGTAGTCTCCATCGGAATTGCTTCCTCTTGTTGACCACCTTTGCGACTAGGATCTTCCCCGCAAGGACCGGAGGCTGTATAGTAGTAATACAGAGGGAAGAACATGTTTGGCTTAGTATAACCTCTACATTCCAAAAGGTTAACCTGTAGCTCCCCTTTTGCCTAGGTAAACTCAACAAGCAGAGAACCCTACCCAAACCCTAAACTCTGGCAAGCCCTCACCCTGAACCCTGAACCCCACCTAAACCCTAAACCCCACTTAAACTCTAAACCTTACCTAAACCCAAATGGGAGTTTCCGAAAATAGGGGACCCTAATATAATACCCCAAATAGTAGGATCCTTATTATAAGGACTCCAAACTAAGGTACCCGTAATTTTTGGAAACTCCCAAATCCCACCTATATAAACCCTATAAACCCTGAACCTCGAAGCTCCGTGAGCTGGGCAGGAGGATGGCACCAAGGCCACCCACCCGGGCATGGCAGCAAGAGTCTCTAAATCTCACGATCGGGGCTTACCTGGGGATCCGAAACCCTACCGTTTTAAGGGTTCTACCCTCTAATTAAGGGGTCATAACCTACTATTTTGTAGGGTTCGGGGCTTAAGGTAAAAGCCAGAAAGTTGGAATATGATTATCCTAACCCGTCTATGGTAAATTATAGGGTATCCTACCATGAAGCCACATTCGAACTTTCTGGAGTTCCCCGTAAATAGTTGCCAAGATTCCTGGGGCTCCTTCTTTTTAGGTTCTCGTATAACATGCCCCAGAGCCCAATTCTAAGTATTAAGGCTCTTATATTATATTAAGACTGTAAGGGTTAAGGATGTGTGGTTTAGGGTGGTTGTGCAGTTCTTCAACTCTCGAAGGGGTTAGGGTTTAGCGAGGTCATGAAGTTCTTGAAATCTTGACGGATTTAGCTCTTAGGGAGGCTTGAATTTCTGGTTGAGTTTCATGCAATAGCCTCACCTAGGTACTGTACTGCATTGGACTGTACTGTGCTGTACTGTTGTTCAGACTTTCAGCCCCAAGTACGGACTAGTTATCTTTACTTGGGGCCTTAGGGCTGATAAGTAGGGTGGCCAGCATTCTCACCCCACACCAGGGACTTACAACTCCTCACTATAACTACCCAAATAACTACCCAACACCTAAACCTTAAACCTTAAGCTTTGAGCCATTCTAACCATTAAACTAACCCCACTGATAAAAACGCTTTGCAGGTTTCGGGACACAAGGCTTCGCTTCGAGGCTTTTTTCGATGTTGAAACCTTTGAGGGTTTGAGCTGCAGTCTAGGGGTTTAGACTTCGCCTTTAGGACTTTTGGATTTAGGTTTTAGTGTAAATTAGGGTTTTAGAACCAGGGTTTGCGACGAGGGGCTTAGAACGCAGGGTTAATGGTTAAGGGCCAGTTAGGGTCTAGCTTTGGGATGCTTTGGGTTCATACGGAGCCTACAGTTGCATCTACGTACATGTACTATGACGAAGTGTCATTTACCTTCCCGAATAAACCCTAGACAGCGCTTGTGATCTAGATTCTGAGTAGTGGCCTTTTGGTCGTCCTTCTCGAGGGTCAGGTACTCAAGAATAGTAGAGAAACATACCTAAACCCTACATCCCGCCCTCCCCAAAGAGGAGAAGACTGAAGTGCTTCTGTGAAACGCAGATGCTGCGTTGACCCTAAAAACCCCTGGTCCCCATCAGTCCTAGACCCTAAGCTCTGCCAGACCCTAAACCATATAGCCCCTAAAAACCTATAGACTCTACTAAACCCTAAGCCCTATAAAGCCCTAAACGCAGCGATAGACCTGGCAGGATCGCGTGCTGGTGAAGCCGGTGACTCAGGGAACGGCCGAGTGAATTTTGTTTGGGTGGGGTTTGCGGTTGTGTAGGGTTAAGTTTAAGGGAATCGGGTTAAGGGTTTTGCATGAAAGAATACGTACATGAGGGCTATCAGTACTTGTTCCTGGATTGAAATTCGTGAGACCTCTGTCAAGACCCTTGCATACCCCTGTATCAAACCCAAAAGGCAGACCATTCTTCTTTGATTGCATCTGCTGGCTCGGAAGATCATGTTTAGGATGGCTGCTGGGATTGTAGTGTTTTCTTCTAGTACAAACTGAACACCTGCAGGGTCAGTAAGCTATCATTCTCAGCATGGGTCTGAGGGTTTCTTTGCTTTAAGTCATAGGGCTTCAGCGTGTCGGCCTACAGCGAACCCTACACCGCTAAACCCCAAGCCAATCCAAAGGCCCGAGATAAGTTCGCAGCTCGAAGGCTGCCCAAACTAAAGTTCTACAATCGGCAGGGAGCCCCGTAATGCTTAGACACGCAATGATAAGTACTACATTCGGGGTACAAGAACCCGTATGCGGCTGGTTAAACAAACTCCTCCTCGTGCGACTAGAGTTTGATGTGGGCTGCCCATGCTGAGAACCGTAAGTTTCGGGATTAGTTTAGTTTAGTGTTTGGGGCTAGGTTTTGGTGTGCCCGGTTCAGAGATTTGGAATTTAGGGTTGAAGACGGTGCCTTAAACCGCCAAGCCCCTAATCCCAAATCCTGAACACCGGCAGCTCCCAAACCCCGAAGCCGAAACACCAATAATAACCCTAATACCCAAATAGGGTCCTAGGTACTGTCATGGGGGATACTTCCCCAAATCATAGTAGTAATTCCTATTATGGAAACCCTACATTCTCCATGTACTTTAGACCCTTTGGGATATCCGCCCGTGTCATTGAGGCATCCAAACACCGTCGTAGATGCGCTGGATCGGAACTGAGACCGTGGAAGCGGCGAGGCGCAATGGGCTGTTTGGCTCTAGGGCGTTCACTAGTCCCTGCGACTTATGTAAAGCCTCCGCACCTTCCACAAATCAACGTTTCTAGGAAATGAACGAAGAAATCACAAGACGGCACCCTCGACATCGTACGCAGGGTTTCTATGCTCGCGGTACATAGACCACAGCCCGGGCGAACAAAAAACACACGCAAGCGTCGAAGTTGCGGGTGTTTGTTTTTGGGCTTGGGTTTAAGGTTTAGGGTGTCTGAGTCTTGTGTTGTGTTTGAGTGTCTTGCTTTTTTGTGTTTGCGGTTTAGAGCGTCGCAAATATCACTTTGGGTCGTTTGGATAGACTCGAACCCCAAACCATGCTTGGAGGGTCGGGGGACTTAGTAACTGGATATTCTAGGGACTTATAAGTACCACAACCCCAATTAGGGTCCCCTTTAGGGTACTTATAAGCCTACTTACTACCTACTTTCTCAGTGTTCCCTAAAAACCCTCCAAGTACGCCGTAAAGCGTACGCTTTGAGCCCGAGAACCCGAAGGGAATGAGTTCATTTCTCGCCAGGGCTGCTCAGAAGACTGGCACTCATATGGGAGTTTCCGAAAATAGGGGTCCCTAAATAGTAGGATCCTCATTATAAGGACCCCAAAATAAGGTACCACCAATTTGCGGAATCCCCCTTTTCTCATAAGTACTCTTGTTGTCAGTACTGGCATTCAGCAGGTTTACATGTTCATGCGTTTCTTAGATTCGTCGACATCTGTAGGAAAGAGCACTGGTCTCAATGAATGAATTGCATTGGCAACTCAGCTTCCATTTCTCAGCTTTACAAACCCAGACACTGCTGGACGGACGGTTCCGGAGTGAGGGCTAGACATGTTGCCATGTGGGGTTTGGGGCTTCCGATCTGCCGCGCGTGCCTGCAGGATATGAGTATGACATCTCTGGGGGTACAGAGACGTGAGCACTTTGCTGCGGCATAACCTTAAGAGTCCAAGCGCTCACCTTCGAATAGCCGTCTTCCACGGTAGTACGTGCAACAGAAGAAGCAGGATGTATTGATGTCATAGTAGTGTAGCCAGCAAGCATGTATCTTGCAGTCTTGCCCGAGAAAGGCTTCAGTCGCAGCTACTCCAGGAAGACTTTTCAGGTGGCTTTACTGTAGCATACTCGCTGCTGCGTGTGTCTTTGCCACCATATGCATGTACGTGAATATTAGAATCCATAACCCCAGGTTCCACGCCCTGTTCCGTGAAGAAAGCCGGTGTCTTAAGGCCAAGGGCGGCATGTTAGCTGCGGCTACTTTTAGGCTACACCTCCTTTGGCCTATTAATTAACCACCCCAACATACGACTCTGTGCTTGGAGGGTCGGGGGACTTAGTAACTGGTTACTTTAGGGACTTATAAGTACCATAACCCCAATTAGGGTCCCTTTTATGGTACTTATACGTCTACTTACTACCTACTTACTAAGTCCCCTAAAGACCCGCCAAGTGATGACCTGCCTTCACACCGCGAGCCCACAAACCGTTTTGCTTCCTGGCGCTTGAGACTCTTAGGGACCTAGCGGAGCCGGCCCTTCCAGATCCAGGTTGTTCATAATTATGCAGCAGCAAAATCAAGAGAGCTATATCAGTAGTAGTAGTAGTAGTAGTAGTAGTAGTAGTAGTAGTAGTAGTAGTAGTAGTAGTGGTAGTGGTAGTAGTAGTAGTAGTAGTAGTAGTAGTAGTAGTAGTAGAAGTAGTAGTAGTAAGTAGTATTTCAATTATTGTTAGGGGTAGAAATAGCAGCAGTAGCAGTACGGCAGCAGAAGTTTATCGCAGCACCACCACCACCAGTAGGATGAGCAGCAGCACCACCAATAGCCGTAGTCAATAGTCGTCCTCGCTGTCGTCCCCACCGAAGTAGCAGTGACAATGCTGTAGCACCTGCACCAGTACTGAGCAAACCGACAAGTATGATTGCTCCCAAACAAACGGCAACACTAGCATTTAAATCTGCAAGCATGAGACATAGCTTGGCTCATATATATATATATATATATATGCATGCATATATAAATGTATGTTGCTGGTGGGCATTGCATACAAACATGTGTTTGTATATACAGGTATAGTTTGCCATTTGGTTGGCAGCAAAGGCTTGCAAGGCTTCATTGGGCTTAGGGTTTGGGTAGTTATGAGTTATAAGCTCCAACTATAAGAATGTATCCATGAATGTCCAAGTAGGGTCTGGGTATTGCATTATGAAAACAGCTTGTCCATTTCATGTACATACTGGGCCATGAGCGTGCATGGCTCACACTTGGTCGGCTCCGACATGTTTTTTTTTTTGGCCGAAGGCCGAAGATCTTCTTCTTTGAGCCAGTGTTACACATCATCTAACATAGAGTGCTGAAAAATGTTGGTATTCTTATGTAAGGCTCCCTATGTAATCCAAGACCCCATTCTGATGATTAACACCCCCAATATGATCAGTTTAGCCGGAACACCGTGTGTCTTAAACATCCGGAAAACCGAAGTGCACCATGGCGCACGTATGAAGCGCAGTTTGCCTAAAGCCATACGACAAACGGCATATGATAGCAGAAACCCAGAAATGTGTGGTTTTTTTGTGGGATACACCATGGGCACATTGCTGTTGACTCATCTTGGATGGAGTCAGCGCAATGTGAGTTGCAGGGCACGGGATGCACTCGAAAGGAAGTGCCGCCCTGCGAGTTTCTAGCTTCCGCGGCTTTGTCTCACTACTGCTGGGTCCTGTTCCGGACATGAGCCACTAAACACCAAAATGACTCTAAAACTAAATCCGCATTCTTATTTGGGCGCAGAGGCTTTGGATGTCGGGATTTCCCTTTGAGGTTTCCATCATTTGAACACAGACTGTCTTTGCAAAAGGAGTTTCCGAAGCCTTCCAATTCCAGTACCATCCATGACCTCTGATTCGTGAAACGTCAAGCCCTTTCAGCTATTCTCAGGTCCTCGGAGTTTAGGCTTAGGTTCTTGGGGTTTTGGGTTTTGGGCATTTAAGAAAGCCTCAGAGTCTATAAGGGCCTTTTCATGATCGGTTAGGAAGTTTTGGGCTTCAGGGGCTCAATTCCTTCATATCAGGATCCCGGTTTCATTTAAGGAGTTTTGGGCTTAGGGGTTTACGGGATGAGAGCTCAGGGCTCAGGATTTACGGTTTTAGGGGCTGAAGGAATGTAGGGTTCAGGCTTAAATGCTTAGTAAGTCTTGCTATAGCCTTGAGCACTGGGTATCTATGCTCTTGTCGAGGGTAGTGGGTTGGCCGAGGTAAGGCAGAATCTAAGAGACCCCTTTATAGCTTAATATTTGGGAACGTAGAATCCCACAGCACATTATTGCTGTTTTTAGGTTTCTGCATACGATTGTAAGGTACAGAACAGGCATCCACATATTGTGGTCCTTTAATTGAAGAAGGAATCTCAATCATACTAGGAACACTATCATGTATTAAGGCGGGTGGAAACGGTGGAGCTTAGGTCTATGAGCATCATGATTCCACATGCAGTTTGTGGGTGCCTTTCGTGGAACATCCTGTAACACGCGATTGCCCGTTTTGCGATCGACCGATCTGTGGGATTCTTATCAATCAAAACCCTATACCGGTATCAGTACATATTACATGTTATGCATTTCGTCTCTTTGGGGAGCCCGTTTTAGCACAATCCAAGCCCCAAACCCTCAACCCTGTGGATCATGGCTTCGACCCTAAACCCCAAACCCTCAACCCTGTGGATCATGGCTTTGAGAGCGACCCCGGCATGCAAAGCCGAGTTTTGGAAAGCCCTCGGAGCTCTCGAGTTCCTGTGGGCTCGATTCCGACTCCGCTCCGTCAAAACTGCCACAATCCGGCTTACTAGGAGGGTCGGGGGACTTAGTAAGTAGGTAGTAAGTAGACCATTTAAGTACCCTAAAAGGGACCCTAATTGGGGTTATGGTACTTATAACTCCGTAAAATAACCAGTTACTAAGTCCCCCGACCCTCCAAGTAGGGTTTGGGGGTCAGATTGTAGAGAAATCATATTAAGGAGCCGAAGGAATAGTACGCATTGCTGACTATTGTGGTTTTCACAGAGCTCGAAGCACGTCTTTTAGACAAAACATCAAGACTCAAAAACCTCAACCCCGAAACCCTACACTCCGAGATGCACAACGCCAACGCGCCATAACCTTTGCACACAACCCCACAACAACTCTACACCCCAAGCCGTAAACCTGGAACTCCTCCGCGTCCTTTCAAAATCGACGCTGGGTTCCTGTAACTCATAATAAATAGAGTGCTCTTGGCTAAAGCTCCCCACCCCCAAGACCCAGCTTGTTCTTTTCTCGAGGAGCCAGCAGCTGGGGCAGCTCGCTCGTACTACGACACGGTGCCTTGAGTTCATTAGGGCCCCGAAAAATCACATAAGCAACAATTAGGATAGGGATATCCCATATAAACCCCCTTATAACGAAGCCCAGTAAGGTAGGGATATCCCCATATAATGCTTATGCTTATGTGTTTTTCTGGTGCCTTGACTTCATATTGCGTGTCAGTTTGCAGGGAGGAGCACGAGTCACGACTGTCAGAAGTCTTTTGCCTCGAACTTCTGGCTTTACACTCTGCGAATGTGATTTCGTTTTTGTAATTTGTATCAATTAGAAAGCACGCTTCGGTAAAGTGTCGGAAGATAGTTTGACGTCACCGCTCCTGGATGTCGGGGTCATGAAGGCCTCAAGAGCACTCCCTGTAGCTCAGACTTTTCCCGGAAGACTCATGTCATCCCAAGACCTAAGTGGAGGAGGGCTGGCATCACTTTCTGTGCTTTTGGGATGTTGTAATGGTAGCTCAAACCGCTTTGATAGGCGCTTTATATACAGAAGAGCCTCACATGTGCTTTGCTGAGGTGTTGTTGGAAGACATGTATGTACGAGCCGCATTTGCTCAACCTTTATGTCCGTCCATATGGGGATGTCCGAAAATTAGGGGT